TGTCATGTTTTTAAAACCTCTCAGACAGAAATAAGAAGCTGGCACCTGTGAGTCTCCCATTTCGCCTAAACATTTCTCTGTCTGTTCCAAAAACATTTTTCTGTCTGTTCCAAAACATCTCACTGTTTTTCTGACTTCTAGTAACCTCTTACGTCACTAAAACCACACCCCTGTTGGCTCTTTCAGCCAATCAGGACTTCCCAAATGAACCGGAAACAGAACTCTTTAAATGTCGACACTTCCTAGTTCCAAACAGTTCAGTTCGGAGAGCAGAACCAAACAGAAAAGTTGCTGGAGAGAACAAGAAGTTCCAGACATGATCCGAAGTTCTTCCGAGTCTCGTGGGGATTATGGAATCTTCCACATCTGAGTGGAACCTCTGACAGACTCACAGCTCATGTGAGTCCACAACTGAGGTGAGCGTGCTGTTGAACGAAGTACCGTCACTACTCCGGACGGTTCTCTGCTATCCTTACGGAGACGCTGAAAAGCGTTGAAAGGCAACTCTACACCGAGGCCGAACTATCGTCTGCAAAGGTAAAGAGTCGATCTTCAACTGCGAAGTGTACCGTGGGTTAAGCTGGGTCCAAAGGAGCGTGTTGTTTCTGGTTATAACACACACATTCCCTCACCCATCTCTCTCCATTTAAACTTCATTTTCCCATCTTTAAAACTCTTCTATCTGCCAGTAATTAATCCAGATATTTTCAGAAATGTCTGTTGTATTTCAGTTGCAAGTAAGAAATCATGGCCGTATGATTTCTCATTGTAAAGCTCATTAATTAAGCTGTGTTATTGTAATCAATCTGCCAAATTATTGTAAATGTGTGATGTGTTTTAAATTGTTTTTAATTAAACGGCTCACTGTTGTTGGTGAGTCAGAAATTAAAACACGTTTTCGTCCACATTTAATATTCAAAACACGATAGTACTCAGTCCAGAAAAATGAAAGAATCCGTTTAAATTATGGATAATATCAGACAGGTATTATTTCATTACAATTCAAAATCTGAGCCCTGATCACTGTGCAACTTTTCCGGAATGCCGTAATGCACAAGGAAATTGTCCCACAAACACTTGGCAACAGTCCTAGCTTTTTGGTTTAGGGTTGGCACAGCAATGGCATACTTTGTGAAGTGGTCTGTTATGACGAGTATGTCTTTGACTCTTCGATCCGGTTCTAGAGAGAGGAAATCCATACACACCAATTCCAAAGGATGAGTGGTTTTGATGTTGACCAAAGGTGCAGCTCGCTCAGGCAATGATTTGCGTCTCACACACCTTTCACAGGTTCTGACTTTATTGACAACGTCCATTAACATTCTGGGCCAGTAGAAACGAGAACGGATTAAGTCGAGAGTTCTTTCAATTCCCATATGGTCCATTTGGTCATGCAGTTGGTGCAGAACAACAGCTCGATACTCCTCAGGTAATACGAGTTGGTATCTTGGTTCACTTCCTACTTGTCTCCTCCTAATGAGAAAGTTGTTTTGGAGCTCCATTTTGTTCACTTCTCGAAGTAGAAGGGGCAGTTCAGGAAGTTCTTCCCTCACCGATGGTGATGGTGACTCTCCTCGTTCTAGCTGAGCTATGACATGGCGGATAACAGGGTCGTCACGCTGCTTGGCTGCAATGTCATCTGCCGAGAATCGAGGAAGTAAAGGGGAACTGAACTGTTCATCATCAGTAAAACTGTCAGGAAGACTGTTGACCTGAGCGGACATAGATAACACCAGAGCATGGTCGTGTTGTGCATCTGGGCTGAACACCAGGTGACGAGCACAAACTGCTTCGATAGTGTGCTGGTCAATAGCGACATAATCTAGTTCATTGAGGTGTTGCTGGGCAAATTTCAGGACTCGTTCATGTTCCTTCCTGGAGGTGGAATCATCAGACAACTCACCATGAGGTCGTCGTGACAATCCATCAGCATCCATGTTCTGCTTTCCAGCTCTGTAGATATCTTGAATGTGAAAGTAGACAAAGCTGAAAGCCATCTGTAACTGGTAGCGTCGAGTTTTGCTGAGGACAACAGGTAAGTTAGTGGATTGCCGTCTGTAACAACCGTGAACTGAGCACCATAAAGATAATCATTAAATTTCTCTGTTACCGCCCATTTCAGAGCAAGAAACTCCAATTTATGAGCAGGATACTTGGACTCACTCCGCAAGAGACCTCTGCTGGCATATGCCACAACTCTGTTTTTTCCGTCCTGCTCCTGATACAACACCGCACCAAGACCGGTGGAACTGGCGTCGGTGTGGAGTGTATAAGGCTTCTGTGGATCAGCAAATGCCAGTACAGGAGCAGAAGTTAGTGT